GGTTGATTCAAATTTTGTTTTTTCTGCATTGGAGTGTTGCTCTTTCAAGACTTCTGAAAGCATGTTCCACACCTGATCCCCCAGATTTTGGAAGACAGTTTAGAGTCTTAAACTTTGGGTCAGGTGCTACAGCTATCTTTAGAAATCTCACATTCGTACCTACTTTGTGTTTTGTCAAATCTGCCATAAAAATGTTCTTAAAATGAACAACTCGTGCTGGGTCATCATTTGAGACTGTTATAACATGAAATATAAGGCAAAATGTGGTTAGAAACATGGAGCAGGATACATACAATTCTCTTCCAAGGAGTTGAGTCACACATTTAATTAATGCATTTTTAATGAGCTATATCCACATGGAAACATGTTCTCTGACATGGTGGCTGAAGCACAAATGGCATATAAATGTTTAGCACATAGCTCGTTAAATACCTTTCAATGCCAGCCACAAAATCATCATGGGAACACCTGTTCTCACTTTCAGGTGACATTGTAAATAAGAAACAGGCAGCATTATCTCCTGCTAATGTAAACAAACTTGTTCTCTTAGCGATTGGCTGAACAAGAAGTAGGACTGAATGAGCTCATAAGCTCTAAAGTTTTATGTTTTGTTTTTGTGCGCAGTTATAACAATCTACAATTGTAACTTGCACTTTCCTGATAGACATTGCACTACAGTATTTGTATGATGTAAATTAAAAATACTATTTTCATTTTTACAGTTCAAATAATATAAACAGTGCACACTGTGTAATTCTGTGTTGTAATTGAAAATTGTAGAAAAAACATCCAAAAGTATTTTAAAAATTTCAATTTTACTAGTCCAATTAAAACTGTGATTACCAGTAATCATGATTAAATACTCCTACTCAAGATACAAGTGTCTGTTGTGAGCTATGTTGCAAAACTACTTTAACAGAGGGAATGAATCAGGACACAAAATTATCAGTGTGTATGGTAGGCAATACTTTTGTCTCTAAATCAGACGGTGCTAAATTCTGGGTTCATGAGGAGTACTGACAGTTCAATGATTACTATAGCCACTGATGATTGTTTTATAGATCTGTCAATCACTTAGAAGAGAGATCATTTGGATCAGAGTTAACAGTAAATTATCAATTTGAAATGCACAAGGTGCTTCATAAGAATATTCATAAATACAAGAATAAGCCAATAACCTGATTTCAGATTATATTTTCAAGCCTTGTAGAAACTGACAGCTTTGTACTACCTAAGTCCCAAATCTTGCGCTGTCTCATAAATCATCAGAACAGCTTGAAAATCAGTTTAGTGTTTGGCAGGAGGCACTATTACTCCCTCAGGATTACACTACTTTGTAAGGGCCCAATTCTGCCATGAATTGTGTCAAGAAGTCCCTTACTCCAGTCAGCTCTATGAATTATTTATATATTAATGAAGCGGCAGTACAGCAGAACTGAATACTGTGATGTTCTGGGCATACTGCTATATACATTTAATGCATCAAGGTGCTGAAAACTGCAAATTATGAGGCAAACATTTTCTCACTCTTCCAGGGTTAGTGACGGGAATGAGATGTGTGAGGAAAAGTAGCTGGAGTAAGAAACTTTGAAATGTACCCTTTTTGGTTAGAAATGAATACAAATGATACATTCACAGTTCATATGCTCCTGTGTGCAAGTTCCAATAGTTTATTTTACAGCACAGTATCTAGTAATGGACATAACAAATTTGAAGTTTATGTTAACAAATAATTATTTTTTAGCTATTTTAGTAGTAAATCTTATCCCTGCTTGACCTTACCATAAAGTGGTATAAGCTGTGATTCACTAAATATAAGATATAAGCACAGAGTGTAAATTGGCTTGGATGTTAAACAAATACTAGAAGTAACAACTGACTGAGGCTGTTGGTATAAATATCATGCCAAACGTCAAGTTTAGAATGCCATAAGAGAAGTTCTCTACAACCAACATTCTGAAACAAAGCTGCTTTGCAGAAGGTGGAAATTCCCAATCAGATAGAACTTGACACTGTTCCACCAAACATTAAGCTGTAGATTTGAAGTATTTACCTTTAGAATACTAATACAATACTTTTACATTGAATTTTCAGTTAAGCAATTGCATTTTAAAAAAATTACTCTGCAGTCTCTCTCATACTGTCTTCAGTGCCAGCACTTTCAGTGCATTCATTGCCAGCAATGGGTAATGCACTGGGACTATGCTGATATAAAAAAGAATTAGTGTAATTTGTAATACAAAAACAAGAAATATTAAAGCTTTTAATTTTTTTTGAAGGTTAGTGTAATTCAGTGTATGACTGTCATCCTATAGTATTAAATATTAGAGCAGGGCTACTCAACGTTGGAATCCCAGGGGGCCACAATGATACTCACAGCACATGCCGAGGGCTGCAACTTAAGTGTGGTTGCATGTACACGCAAATGTATATGCAAATAGCTTCTTTCACAAAATGTCCCGGTGCTCCTGGTGCCTCCTCCCAGTCTGTTCCAGCCAGCCTGTCCGCTTGCATCTTTCAATGCTCACCCCGCCTGGGAGATGCTTCACCATTGTGGAACATGTTCCCAGGGGAGGCCATGTTCAAAAGTTCCCACCTGTGTATTCAGCTCCACGTAAACCCAAACTGCACCGCAGGCTGCAAACAAATGGGCTGTGGGCCACGTGTTGAGTAGCCCTGTATTAGAGTATATATACACACACACACACACACACACATATTAGTTTAAATAAGCTGAAAACCTTAGTTTCATATCTTTTTTAAAAGCACAAACTGTAGTGACTGATTTTAAAAGCTACAATTTATAAAATTAAATTGGGGATATGACTTTTTGCCTCTAGGAATTTCTATCATGCCACAGAATTTTGTTTATGTCCATTTCCTTGACAAGACTTGTTTTAAAGTTCTTCTATCCATGCACCACTTCTACCTGAGTAGTAGCTGGGGATAAAATATCCCATGGAGAACTCCTTCGATAACTACATTTGGAAAGTCATCTGAAAAACAGAAAAGAAAAACTGCTTTCTTATGTATGTCAATACCATAAAAATGCTTTTGTGGAATTTAACAAGGCAAGGACTAGTATAACTTAGGATATTGCATCACTATAGTGTTTATCCCTGTTGGGAATGTACTATTAGTAATGCTGTTTCAGCACTAAAACCACTTTAGTATAGCATAGGGCATTGCATAAAAGCGCTGCCAGATTTGTAGCTTATTGATTTAAAGGGATGTTCTAATACTTAATGCTGCTAGACTCCAGCTCTTTATCTGAATCTTTTCTCACAAAGAAGATGGATTACACTGGCAATTCAATTTCTAACAAAATCTCAATATACTTGAAGGAATTCCAAGATTGCTACTGGGAATACTTCACAGCAGTTTTTCCATTGTGGTTTATAGCAACATTTAGTCCGAGTGGACTCAAAGATGCCTGCACCATCACAGACGCTTCTCAAGAACAGTAAGATTATAGACTGTCAATATAAAAGGACAAGTTTCTTAGAAAAAGTCATCCTGGCAAATTTGAAGGGGAATATCCCACAGACACAAAATATTTTCAGTACAAATGCAAGGGAAACCAGCATAATTTTTTCATGTTATATTTACCTTAGTAAATAAAACAATCAGATTAACTTGATGAAAGAAAGTAATAGACCCACATAGGGGCAGGAAGACTATGTGTTACTAAAAGAAAAATAGTCGCCAAATGTACTAACTTCTACCTTTCTAAAATAGAGTGACCCACTTTACTCCCTTAATAGAGTCAGAATTTCCCATTCCACCTTACATTATTGCTTAAAATTGAGTTTCAAACTTGCAGTGCCAGCAAACTAAAAGATGGGTTTAACTCAGAAGATATTGGCTGAATAAACATCCACAGATGATGCTTCACACTTTCAAAGTAAGTTTCTCCTTCAGCTGCCAACTTCATATAGGGCCTGATTAAACTTTCATTAAAATCAGTGGAAAGATGATAGTTGATTCTAATGGGAGTTGGATTGTGCCCTTTAATAACTTAATTTAGGGTCATTAGATTATATTTTTGGCAAATAATATATTATAAATGTGATTACCGGAACTAGTAAATTAATAATAGGGTTATTTCATTATATATAATAATTTATGTTAGAGATTTAACCAATAGACTCCAGACTATTTTGGGGTTGAATGTATGACTAGTAGAGACCTTTTCAATAAGCAACATATGGGTGGGGTAATTCTCACTTCTGATGGCAGATAAAGCATTATTACAAATAACGCATTGACATTTTGAGCCACTAATGATTCCACAAGTTCCACAAGAAACTCTGCACACTCAAATCATTTTTCTAGGATAATTTCACAATAGTGATATTTGTAGTATTGGAATACACACTGTAAACATGATCCATTTATTTCACTCTAAATCAAATCTGAAGTTTCAGAAACCTGTTTTTCCACTAGTTCTATTATATACATAACATACAGTACATATGGGGAAACTGGTATTGATTTTATAAAACGATACCATATTAAAGTGTCAGACATACTTTGAGGTTTTGTTGCATAAAGCATCTGCCATATTTTAATTCTAATATGTAAACATTGAAACAACCCCATAGGTGTTTTTGAAAATGGTTGGCTTTAGACATCATTCATCATTAGACCAATTTTCTATAAAGATACAGGAAGTTTAAGACTATTATTCAACTTTTACAAAAGGAACTTTAGCAATTTGTTCAATTACGCTAATATTTTAGATTCTGGTCTTTTGAGAACCCCTTTTAACATTTTGTGTATTTCAGGTTGTACCTCCCTGGTCTAGCACGCTTGGGACCTGACCTGTCCTAAACCAGACAATCTGCTAGACTAGGGGAGGTCAATGCCAGCTGCTCTGCTGCTACCTGTAGTGGGGCTCCACTCCAGTGGCAGCAGAAGGGCCAACACTGACTGAATGGGGAATGGGAGGAGGGAGTGTAGTTGGGAGAAGGAGCAGGGTGGCTGTGGAGTCCTATGGCCGGGGACTAGGAGCACAGCCCCATGGGAGTGCATGGAGCCCCGTGGCTACTGGGCTGCGCTCCCAGTCCCTACCACCGGATGCACTCTTGCCTAGAGCATCCCTGCTCCTTCCCCTACCTCCCTGAGTTTGAGTATTGCTAATGTGCTATTTGCATTGCTCTGGGAATGTGGGGGAGAAATTGCTGAGCGTGGGTCTACAGCTCGGGAGCACATCTGGGGATGCTGGACCACAGATGTTTCTGGACTACGGCAGTCTAGACTACAGAAGTCAAACCTGTGGATATCTTGCACTTTTTATTTAAAAGAAGAGAATGTATTTTATATGAAGAATGATGTGTTCATAAAGTTAACCAATCTTACGTTTTATGCAACAAAGATTCAAAGCCAGTCTGACAGGACTTGTAAACCTAAGTCCATTAGGCAAAATCTCCCAAATAACAATAATTAAAGTTCAGTACTGATATAGATTTAAGTTAAACATAGAATTAATTCATTATATGCTATCAAGTTAAATATAAATAAAATGCTGCTTTAACATTTTTACTGTTATCTGATGTTAGAATGCTTATCCTTTTGCCTTCCCTCTTCATTGGCCTTCTCACCCGAGCAGAGAACAGCAATACCTTAAATCTGGAGATGTAAACAATTTGGTGTTCAATGGGATTAGTTTTGAGCAAGCACAAATCCAGTTTCTTTTTTCCTGTTTTATATAGTAATAGTCTCAGCTATACCTTAACCAATCATTTTACTGAAATTTAACTAACCAATCCTAACATACTGTAACATGATTACCAATTATATCCCACCACCTTAATTGGGTCATACCCAGCAAAATCCATTATACAGCAGACAGAAAAATCAAAGAACTAAACAGAGACCATACAGATAAACAATAGAGAAGAGAAGTCCATAATGACAAAACAATAAAGAAATGAGGATTTCGCAGCTCCAATTATTGGTAAGTGGGTCCTTGCCAGAAAGAAAGCTATCAATCAAAGTTTTCTTTAAATCTTCGAGGTTCTTCCCTTTTTCTGGAGGTGACAGATTGCATTGCCTTTTTAACAACCCAAAATTGCCTTATTTCAATGTGGCTGGTTTTGGGGAAATGGAAACTGGATTCCTGCTTGCTGGAAGCTAACCCCCATAAACATTAAATTGTTTGCATCTCTGGACTTCTGGATATTGCTGTTCTCTGTTCATGTGAGAAGGACCAGGGAAGTGGGAGAGTGAAGGGATAAGCCATCTAACTGTTAATGTAAGACAGAGGAGACTGGCCTTTTACAAGCCAAGATTCTGCAAGAATCTTCATATCAAATTAATGTGAGAGTTTGGACAATATAAGGCACCTTGCTTTCTCAGGATTTCTCTTTCCAAATAAGAGAAATAAGAGTAGAGGAATTGAGGACAACTATTTCCCTATTCCACAGAAATAAGAAACATCTACAAAGAAGCAAGCAACAGCTCTTGGCGTTTAGAATATGCAGCTCCTCAGATAGCTTTTGCCAATTAAAATACCGACCCTGCAAGTGGTTAACTTTAAGCATGTGAGAAGTACTACTGATTTCCTGATCCAATGCAGAGAGCAGGACTCCTCACATGCTTACTGAAGCCTATGCACATGTTTGGAGGCCTGAGGGCAGAGAACACAACTACACTATTAAAAATACCAAAACAGCTTTCCACTCCACAGCATTGACTCTCAGGCTATATCTACACTACACACCTGAGTTGGTGGTGCGTAGTCTATATATAGCTAAATGCTGCAGTGAAAAGCCAACTGTCCACGTGTGCTGTAGCGCAACCCACGTCACCAAAAGACTCCTGTAGGCAGGAAGCTGTGGGGAAAATGCTTCAGCAGCCCCTCCCTGGGAAAGATTCCAGCCTTTCTTCTCTTGCTGGAATTTTTCCCTCCAGTGGGTGAAGAGCACTGACAGAAGGGAACTGCTCAAGACTTTCTCCACTGCCTACCCCTGCAGAGCCTTCCTTTCATGCAGAAAGACCCCAAGAGCAGGGAGATAAGCAGTACACTACAGTGCTAAAAACAGAAGGGTCAACAGGGAGACACAGGTTGGAAGATGCATGTAGGCCTTGTAGGATATGGACTTGTGTGCGTACCCAAATGTTTGAGGCATGTCTTAACTCACATAAGCTGCATCCCACCAGCTACTCTGCTATTTATACCTATACTAGGACTACATGCTGCCAAAAGAAGCATGTAATGTAGATGTATCTTCAGAGACCGGATCTAGAGAGTTGGGATTACACAGGTTGGAAGATGCATGTAGGCCTTGTAGGATATGGACTTGTGTGCGTACCCAAATGTTTGAGGCATGTCTTAACTCACATAAGCTGCATCCCACCAGCTACTCTGCTATTTATACCTATACTAGGACTACATGCTGCCAAAAGAAGCATGTAATGTAGATGTATCTTCAGAGACCGGATCTAGAGAGTTGGGATTACAC